TCATGTTTCCATTAGAACTAAAATAACTTTAGCAGAGAAACTTCCAATTTTCAGAGCCATGGAACAAAAAATGCCCCTTCTCACAATTTTGCATGGATCACAAGTGCAACTCAATTTATCATTCAATCTTAAAAGTATATGTTCTCTTTTATTGTAATCAAATAAATGGAATTTTCTAACTATTTGACATTAGGAAAAAGAAAAGATGCTAAGAATAACAATGTAACTGTTTAATCACTGTTACTACTTGGTTGAGAGATGATTGTAGACTACAATCCTGAATACTTGATGAGGAAAATGACATGCTGAATACCTTAAAATCCATAATGTAAAAAATGGATATAATGCTCTATTTAACTACTTGGTTTTGTATTCAGCTATGAAAGCAACTACTTAGTTCAAATGAAACCAAAATTTCTTCACTAATAAGGAAATAACTGAACTAGAGACAAAAATCAAACTGCAGTAATGAAAGTTCGGTACATTTTAAATGATGAGATGCATACAAAAACGTGATTGGATAAAAATCGGAAAATATTCAGAGCAATACCGAGTGTAAAAAGCTAGCCAATGGAAATTCGGCAAGGGATTCCTCTCCATTCATTAAGCTGTGTAAGACCTGAGTGGTTCCTTGACTGTTTAGATTTATTTCAGGAAGAAATTTTCTCGAGGACAATCCCATGACATGGTTCAGGGCGTCCTCTACAGCAGCACCTGCCCGAGTTGTTCTTCGTTGGCTAATTAAGACCCTAACATAATCCAAAATCAATGCATCAAGCACAAAACAATTGAAATGCATAACAAAGTGCAACCGAAATACCACCAGACAATTGAAACTTGAGAGCAAGTCAAGGGAAGAGTTCATGAGAAGCTTAGCTTGTCAGGCTTCCATAAGATGTCCAAATATGCCCAATTCTTGAAATAGGATATTCATTTCAATCATAATAATTGATGATTACAGGTTCTATCCCTCTCAATAGCAAAACTTACTTACCAAGTCGTGCTCTGTCATGCATCAGTTTAAAGTGATATATATTTATCCAAATAAAACACAAGGAAAACAATTTTACCTTCATATGGAAAGCAACAATTTGCCGCACCAGCTCCATTAGATCATCAATTAAGGCTTCCTGTCTGAAAAGATATAAGCAGAACAAAACATGCTTATCAATTCAGTTATTCTACATGCAGCATCATTTATTAATTCTACCTTGCAAAAATACATCTTTCAAACGAAAGATTCAAAAACTGCAAATCTTGCTAATTAATCAACTACCACATAGTGGACAAATAGATTTTCTGAAAGGAAAAAATGCATAAATTCGAAGCACACTCAAAACACAAGATGTAGAGCCTTGATGAGCATTCTTTACCCCTAAGCTCTCAATACCAGAAATACTAAAATTGGAACCAGAATTAGATATACAGCTTTCTCCCTCATATTTACAAAGGAATGAAAAATAAGGGCATTACAGTGAGGTCAAAGTTAGCTTCTATAAGTTC